TCAGTGTCCCAAGTGGGAAGTTTTCAGGAAATAAGGGGCACACTGCTCTGTGTTGAGCCTTGGAGGCTCCTTTGGCTTCCCCACAGCTGATAAAGGAGTTGTTCTTCTCTGTTCATTTTGGGAGAAAAAGGCTCTCAAAGCCACTGCCCCTCCCACCTTGGCTGTGTTGTTTCAGGTTTTCTCTCAAGGTACCTCAGCTGTGGGTGGGAGCCACAGGAGAGGGGCAGCGAGCAGAGGAGTGAGAGCTGAAGGATAAAACACATCAGGAGTCTCCTCAGGCCCCAAAATTCCCATTCCAGGTGGCTGCCAGCACCCCCTGGGTCAGCAGAGTGTCCCTGTCCCTGCAGAGCTGTCCCTGAGTGCCCCCAGCCCAGCCTGGCTCTGGCAGCCACACATCCCTCAGCAGTGGCCCTTGGTGGCCACTCTGCTGGAACAGGGCAAGCCCAAGAGCTGAATTCCCATTCTTCAGTTCTGTAGCAAGACTGATGTTGGATTTTAGCACAAGGAGCTAAATCTTCCTTTTCTGGGTGTAGTTTGGCACAGAGCATCTTGTTATTACAATTTCTTCTGAAAAATCACCACTGTTAATTTATTCTGAGTCTTGTTCCCTCCAACTCCAGTCCTGTCCAAACTGCACATGGTGTTATTTGCTGGGTCCTTCATCCAGCCATGGCAGGTACCCATTTTCTGGAGAGAAATCGATTTGAAAATCAGACTTTTCAACTTGTTGGCTTCAGTGGGGCTTTACCAGACCCAGCTTTGGTGCTTTGGGCTCTGTGGGTGGTTTTGGCTGGGTGTGCTGCAGCTCAGGGCTGGCTTGGCCACCCTCACACTGTACCAGTGTGGCATGGATGGAGCCATGGGGGATAAATCCTGTGTGTGCCACCTCCAGCCCCACAGCAGCCTGGAGAGCTGGGGCCAGGCTGGGAATTGGAAATCTTTTCAGGAATATCTGAGGAATTTCTGTCTGGTCTGTCTTGTGTTCTGGAAATCCTCTAAACTGCACATATAGGAAACATTTAGTTGCATTTACTGCTTTGTTTGCTTCCAGGAGAGGATAAGTCCAGAGATTGAAAGAGTAAAAATTACCAACAGCAGAAAATAAATTTTAAAATTCTGTGCTATTTCTGCCTGTGAGAGCTCTGCCAGTTCAGTAATCTCTGGATCAGCTCACCCAGACCTGTGGTTGTAAGGACAGCACACAGGCTTTTAGAATAAAGATTGTGAGAGCAAAATTTTAACCCAAATGCTAAAAAAACCCTTGGCAATCTGAACAAACCATCTGCAGAACACAGGCCAGGCAGAACCCTGGGAGCACTCCCATCTCAGTGACTTTTCCATCCCTCTGCCTGGGCCAGGGAAGGCTGGAGCTGGCCACGGGCAGCGTGGGGCTCCACCAGGAGGAGGCTCAGCCACTGGGATGGGGCTTTTCCAGGGAATGCTGTGGGCTTTGGAGGCCAGGATGGCTCTGGGGGACTCGTGGTGTTGCTGTTCCACAAGACACTTTAAGGGTTTGCTCCTTCCCCTCTGGTAAAACCTCAAACAAAATCCTGGAGTTTGGGCTTGAGGGGTTATTGTGGAGTTGTTTGTTCTCACTGGGGCACTGAAATACAGAATTGCTGAATGGTTTGGGTTAGGAGGGATCTTAAAGCTCCAGTGCCAGCCCTGCCATGGCAGGGACACCTCCCACTGTCCCAGGCTGCTCCAGCCCTGCCCAGCCTGGCCTGGAACTCAGCAGGGACAGGAACGGTTCCCTGCACGGTTGGTTCTGGGACTCGAGACATCCCCCAAAAATGGAGAGAGGATGAGCATGGGGATGGGGAGGATGAGGATGAGGATGGGGATGAGGATGGGGAGGATGAGGATGGGGATGAAGATGGCCAGCACACTGCCATCACAGCAGGCAGAGGAATTGCTGCTGGCAGGGCTGTGCCTGCAGGGATCAGCTGAAGGTGAAGCCCATGGGAATGTCCTTCCCTGGCCCCTTGGAGCCCCTTTCCCTCCATTGTGCTCACTCAGCTGGGCTGGAGGAGCCAGCTCAGGGCACAGCAGCTCCAACAAAATCCCTTTCAAATAAAACGTCTGCCAGGGGCTTCTTGGGGGAGCAGGCAAACTGAAAAGTCTCCTAAATAATTCTTGCAGCCTAATGAACAAATTTGATTAAGGTTTGGCAGCTTTTGCTAATATTCCCTGTAACTAGGAAATGGTCCCAGTTCTGTGCTCTGAGAACACCCTCGTAATTAAACCATGAATGGGAGCAAATGTCCTGATGAGCACAGGACAAATGGATGTTAACCCCCAAACGTCCCCTTCTGTAACCCTGGGGATGGTGCAGGGCTCTGTGTCCTGGCATGTCAGAGGCTGTGACAGATGGAGCCCCTCAGCTAGGGAAGTTCTCTACCCAGCTCCCCTGAATAATAATAATAATAATAATAATAATAATAATAATAATAATAATAATAATAATAATAAATAATATCATCATCATGGAATGGTTTGGGTTGGAGGGACCTTAAAGCCCATCCCATTCCACCCCTGGAATTCCATGGCAGGGACCCCTCCCACTGTCCCAGGCTGCTCCAAACCCCAATGTCCAACCTGGCCCTGGACATTCCAGGGGTCCAGGGACAGCCACAGCTGCTCTGGGAATTCCATCCCAGCCCCTCCCCACCCTCCCAGCCAGGAATTCCATCCCAATATCCCATCCATCCCTGCCCCCTGGCAGTGGGAGCCATTCCCTGTGTCCTGTCCTGTTTTTTATTCACCTTTTATCAAGCAACATGAAATACCATGAAATTCATGTTGTCACTGGTTCAGGAAGATGGAAACTGCTGGAGTTCAAATCCTGAACCTTTGGATGTTGTGGGATTTGAGGAGCACTCCCTGATCCTGGGAATTCATGGCATGGGTGCTGCAAGCCCTCATCAGGCAGGGGTTTAATGCTGGTGCTGAATTGGCTGAAATAATTAATGACAGCAGCTTCCAGCAGCTGGGAAGGCACCTTCATGTCAGGGATATTTGAGACTGGTGGGATTCCACATGAAGCCACTCCTGGGAATGGGCAGGAGGTTGTTTTCCAGGAGAGGGAAGTGCTGACAATTGAAAGGTTTATTGAAATGCAGGGGAGGAATCAGCCAATACAGATCAGCTGCAATAAAAGCAGGTTTTCCAGCTGAAACAGGCACAATTCCTAACAGTTTTGCATTAAAACAGGTGTTCAGCCTCTACATTTTGCTGCTTTTCCTTCACAAGTGTCTTTTCTGTGCCCAGCGTGCTCAGCCCAGTGCTGCAAGAGTGGAAAGGCAGATGGGTAGGAAGGGGTTAAACCAGTTCTGGGCTGGGGGAGGTTTATTCTGAACTTACCCCCGAGTCAGAACATAAAAAACAACAACCCCACACTGTGGTGGGAGGGAGGCACGGGCTGATTTTATTTCCCTGCCTTGTGCCAGGACTGAAGCATCCTCTGAGACCCTCCTGTCAAGGCTGACAAGCAGCAAAACGAGGAATAGAAATAATAATTTCCAAAAGATGTGCAGAACAGGCTGTTTACTGCTGGAAACGCTACCCTGGGCTTGTCACAATCTGTTGCAGGGTTATAAAAAGCAATGTCCAACATGGATAAGGCTGGATTTGAATGCCCAGATGACAGGGGAGGTGCAGGAATTTGTGCTGGGCTCTTGGCACAGCAGTGGCAGCAGGAGGGAGCCCAGGGCAGGGTGGCAGTGCAGGAGGGGAAGGAGGGATTGGAAGTGATTTATGGGGAAGCTGTGCCTTGCTTGTCCCCTAGTGCTGAGCAGCACCAAGCAAGGGTCGCAGGGATTTGGGGAGGAAATTGCTCCCAGTGAAGGTTTTGGTGCTGCTGCTGTGGCTGGACCCTGCTTTGGGGTCTGGGTTTTCAGAGGACACGAGGAGGTGCTGCTGCTCTCCTGGGGTGTGTCACAGCTCGGGTGACAGTGGCCAGAATGAGCAATCCCAGGGAGAAGTGGCACTTCTTGGAGCTGAGTGTGAGCTTTGTGCTGGGACAGCTGCAGGAGGGCTCAGTGTGGTCCTGTCTGCCCGGGTGGGATCTCTGTGTTCCTGCTCTCCTGGGACTCTTGGAATGGTTTGGGTGGACAGAGGCATTGAGGCTCATCCATCCCATTCCCCCCCTGGACATTTCCACCATCCCAGGCTGCTCCCAGCCCTGCCCAGCCTGGCCTTGGACATTCCAGGGATGCAGGGGCAGCCACAGCTGCTCTGGGCACCCTGTGCCAGCCCTGCCCACTCTGCCAGCCAGGAATTTCCTCTTAATAACCAATCTAAATGTATCCTCCTTCAGCTAAAGCCATTCCCTGTGTCCTGTCCCTCCATGCCTTGTCCCCAGTCCCTCTCCAGCTCTCCTGGAGCCCCTTCAGGCCCTGCCAGGGGCTCTGAGCTCTCCCTGGAGCCTTCTCCTCTCCAGGGGAACATTCCCAGCTCTCCCAGCCTGGCTCCAGCCCTGCAGCAGCTCTGGGGGCTCCTCTGGATCTCTCCAGGTCCTGTTCTGTTGGATCCAGGGCTGGGACCTGGGTGACCTTTCCTGCTGCTCCAGCTGTGGATGTGGGCAGAAGAAAGGCTGAGCTGTAACCACAGGGAGAGTTGGGAACAGAATCCCAGTCCAGGATAGGTGTAAAACCTGGAAGAGGTCAGAACTGCACCACTGACATGCCAACAATTTATTGTAACAACTTGAAAGATGAGAAATTGAATTAAAGCACAGGTTTCCTTCATCTGCTGTCTGGCTTTTCCCACTGGGATTATATGAGAAATGAGAATCTGGATTGAACAGCATCTGGATGACCCTGTCCTGTTGCAGTGAAAATCTTTCTTCCTGCAGATATTCTGGGGAAATTTTTCCACTAACACCAACCTGTGCTGTGTCTCCTGCTGCTGCTGTGTTGAATAACAGTAAAAAATACACCTAATACTAAAAAATACATCTTAAAAAAAAAAAAAAAAAAAAGCAAAGCTTCGACTTACAAATGTCCCTTCCTTCCGCAGGCAAAGCAGAGGAGCCCAGAGCAGCCGAGGCCGTGAGTGGCAGTGACATCACAGCTCCCCCCAGCAAGGAGCTGCCCCCCAGCCCTGAGAAGAAGAGCAAGGTAGGAGCTGTTCCCTGGCCAGCACCTCCCCTCCCGTGGCTTTCATTTGCTTTTCTGCTTCCTCTGCCGTGCCAGAAATTCTGTTTTCTGAGCTGCCACTCTGAGCCCTTGCCCTGGAGCAAACCCATCGGGTTCAGAGCTGTCACTTTTGTTCTCCCAGTGGCAAACTTTGATACAAGTGTGGAAATTTTATTTCAGTGAATTCCCTGGCTGCTGTTGGTGATTGTAGCTGTAGTAAACACGGAGTAGAGGTGTAGTAGCAGTGGTACCCTGGGAGTTGTTCCCAGCACATTTCTGTGCATGCAGAGCCCTGCCCAGGGCCTGGCTTTGGAGCTCTGCTCTCAGGAGTCCCCCCAGTGTCCCCTGATGTCCCCAGGGGGGCCAGGGCCCTCTCCCCTGCAGGCCCTGCCCGTGTGACCACAGGAGCTGATCCCGTGGGGATTTGGAGCTCCCAATCCCTGTGTGCCCATCATTGCAAGGCCAGGGCCTGTGGATTTGTAGCTCTGCATGCCAGGAGCACCCAATTACTAATCCAGCTTTACCAGCCATTCCTTCTGTTGCTTTCAATGCTGCTGAAATAAATCCCCGGTATAAAGTTGGTTTGGAGCTGAATGGCAGAACCCCCCCAGCCCTGGAGGCTGCTGCATTTCTGTCTTTGTTGCACTCAGAAAACAGAAAGCTTATTATTATTATTATTACTACTATTATTATTACTATTTTTATTATTATTATTAATGCTATTTTTACTATTATGATTTGTTTCCTTTAAAATATCACTTTTCTGTTGTTGCAGCTCAATGTTTTGGTTTACAATGCGCTATTTTTTGTTGTATTTCTTTGGTTTTATCCCGGATTTTGCTTTTTGGCCCAACCCTAAAGGCTGCTGCATCCACGTGCACTCCCAAGGCAGCAGCAGTGAAAGCCAAGCCCTCGGCCACCAGCAGCCCCAAGCGGCCAAGCTCGGCCACCCCGGGCACAAACAAAAAACCCACGAGCCCCAGTGCAGCTCCTGCTCCAGGCAGCACTTCCAAACGCCCTGCAGGCAGCAGCAGCCGTCCCTCCACCCTCACTGCAAAAGAGACTAAGCCAAAGGTAAGAAGTGCTGGCCCTGGGGAGGTGCCCTGCCCTCAGCCACCGGGCACAGCAGAATTCCTGTGCAGCTTCCCGGGGTGGGGCATCGTGTCCCTGGCACTGAACTGTGTCACCACAGAGGAGGATTAAACCTGGGGGTGGTGCTGAGATTGTCCTGATGAGCTGCCATGAATCAGGGATCCCAGGCTGGGACCTTCAAGTCCATCCCATCCCCATTCCCATCCCCAAGCCCCATCCCCATCCCATCCCAGATTGCTCCAAACCCCATCCAGCCTGGCCTTGGGCACTGTCAGGGGTCCAGGGAGCAATTCCTTCTGTGTACAGCTCCTAAATCCAGACAAGACCATGGGAAACCTGACTGGAGACCTTTGATATAAATATTGAAGAAAAACAAATCCATGTGAATGCTCTGTGTTTCCCATCAATGATCATTTTATGATGTCTGCTCACTGCAGAACTGCACAGGGGGGAATGATAACCCTTAGGAAACCTTGGAGATGGGTAATTCCCCAAAACAGAGGATTTATGGACAGTGTTGTATCTTCCAGATAAGCAGGGAGTCCCCATGTGTCAGGAATGGGAGGTGTCCCTTGAATGTTCCCTGTGTGAGCTTGTGATCTTACAGAGTGGGGGAATATAAGTTTAAAAGGGAACATCAAAATCTGTTTCAGAATCTTTCAGTGGTGGCTGAGCACCACCACTCCTGCTCTTTCAAGCTCAAATTACTGCATTTGAATTTCTTTTAGAACTAACTCAAAATAACAGAAGGCAAATGAAAGCCTGGATGTAAATCTGCACTTTTCTCTGGGCTGGTGACTTTGGTTTGGTTCAAGTTTTTGTATCATTCTGAATCCCTTTTTGATAAAATACTATTCACTCCCAGGCATTAATTCAGTATTTATATACTTCAGAGATCAGGCAGTTGGCAAACAAGTGCCTGACCAGGGAAGAGTTTTCCAAGTGAGGGATGAGCCATGGACACCTGATTTTCCTGTCCCCAGTGTCTTAACAAATTGCAGCTTAGGGATCATTCCTGCTCTTGGAGGGTGGGAATCTCTCGCAGGAGCATTGCTGGTGTTCTGCTGGTTCCATTTTATCCAGAAATCAAATGTGGCTGGAGAGGCCTCCCCACATCAAAGCTGGGCCAGCCCTGGGTGGGAGCTGCTCCCTGCAGGCTCCGTGTGCTGCCCTGCCCTCCAGCACTCAATTATATTTGAATTGCACATCACTCAGTTATGTTTTAATTGCAGTGTGAGCTGTCAGCAGTGCCAGGTGCATTCAGTGTTTGGGACCCCCCCAGTCTGTTCCTCCCTGGCTCTCCCCGTGCCCGCTGCTCTCTCTGCTTTGCCCGTGACGTTCCAGCTGCCCTGACACCTCCTGCTCCATTCCAGGTCACAGATGTGAAGCCCACGGAGAAGAAAACCTCCCTGTCCAAGGCTCCATCCTCCACCACTCCTAAAACTCCTTCCAGGAGCTCCCCTGCTGCTGCCAGGACCACGGCGCCGTCGCCGGTGACGGCAGCGGCTGCTGCCAGGACCACGGTGGCCACTCCTGCCAAGAGACCCTCGTGTGAGTGCCCCCTGCCCTGGGCTCCTGCCCTGGGGCAGCACCTCCACAGCCCCTGGCAGGAGGGGACAGCCAGGGGGGTCGGGATGTGCTCCCAGGGAACAGGGGCAGGATGGATATTGGGAATGTTCCTTCTCGGAAAAGGCTGCCCAGCCCTGGCTCAGTGCTGGAGTCCCCACCTCTGGAAGTGTTCAAAGGCCACTTCATCATTGCCTGCATTCTGACAGTAGCTCAAATAGGGTTTTTTTTCCTTCCAGATCTTCCTCTTCCAAATTCCTTTCAGCTGTGTGTGGTCCAAGGTTAATTCAATTACTGGACACACTTGATTTAAGAGTGGGCATTCTATTCTGTCTGTGTTTTGCCATAGGAACAGAATAATTTGCTTGGGAAAGCAAATCTTCAGAAGAGGACTTGAAACACCTGAACTGGTGTGTGAAATCCAGAAAGGGTTGAGCAGAAGTGAAGGATTTTTAGTAGAGCCAGCAGAATTTGGAGCTGAAATCACATCAGCTTCATCCAGAAATTCTGTCCCACTCGTACTGCTGCTAAAGGGGGAACTTCCCCTGAGTTCAACAGGAAATCTGAGCAGTGTTTTGGATAAACCAATGCTGTTCTCACTCCTTTTAATGGAGCTCGAGAGATGTAACACCAGATAAAATTATAGTTAAGTCTACTCAAGCCTTTTCAAATGACTGGGCTTCAGTGGCAAAATTTGTCAATAAATGTGTCAAATGACACAGGTTGGTTTGAATCTCAAAGCATGGATTCATATCCCAGCTTTCCCAAAAGAATTGTCATGTTTTAGCTGTGTTGGGATGGATTTGGCCTGATGGACATCCCAGACTTTATTCTCTGGGGGAAAAAATCCAATTAATCAAGTGTAGAGAAGGTGTTGCACATTCCAAGAGCCACGAATCCTGTCAGATCCCATGGACATCGTGGTGAAACTCATTTTGTGTGGTCTTGGAGGCAGACTGGAGCCCAGGAATGCAGGATCTGTTCTAATGAGTTGGGTTCATTCCTCCTGCCCAAAGTGAGCCACGAACAAAGGGGTGTTTGCTGCTGCCTGGTGAAAGGAGATGGAGGCAGCGATGCAGAGCTGCAGGGAGCCTGTTCCAAGAGGCAGCATGGGCACAGGGAGAGGCACCAGGAACGGGGTGGGACCCTGCCAGAGCTCAGGCTGAGCCCTGGGGGTGAGGGGGCTGAGGTCAGCTGGGGGAGGCTGACATCTGGGATGGAAGAGAAAAAGCAGGAGTGGGAAGGGCAGGGGGTCCTGTCCTGGGTAAGGTGGGATGGATGGAGCCTGGGGCCTCAGGGGAGCCACCATGAGCCCAGTGCTCAGGGCTTGGCTTGGGTTGGTTTGGGTTGGTTTGGTTTGGGTTGGTTTGGATTGTTTTGGATTGTTTTGGTTTGTTTTGGTTTGGTTTGGCTTGGTTTGGGTGAGGTGTGGGTGGGTTCATGTGGAACTCTCAGGGTCACAGCTCTGATCAGCTCCTGTAGAGGAGGGGACAGTGGGGGGTTCAGGATCTGCTCCCAGGGAACAGGGACAGGAGGAGAAGGAGGTTGAGGCTGGATATTGGGAGAATTCCTCGTGGAAAGGGTGGCCAGGCATTGGGATGGGCTGTGCAGGGCAGGGGTGGAGTCCCCATCCCCAGAGAGATTTCAGAGCCCTGGGGACATGGGCAGGGCTGGGGGACAGGGCCTGGATGTCTTGGCTTTTCCAGCCTTAGTGGTTCCTTGAATTCATTGTCTCCTGGCACAGGGCTGAGGCAGAGAATGGGTTTGGGGTGAGGAAGGTGTTGGTGGCTGTTCCTCTTTCAGGACAGCTGCTGGTGCTTTTCTCACCCCAGGCACTCAGAGCTGCCATCGAGTTTTATTCACTGTCCCACGTGGATGTGTGTGTAAAGGCCAGCTTTGACATTAGATAGTTTCACTTTTTTCAGGTATTTTCAGGTCAGGCATTTTCTCTGCTAAAAGAGAGCCATGGGTTATGTGAGGATTGATATTTTGGTTTTTAATTTTATTTTTTCATTAGTTTTTGTCCCCCTCTCTGTGGAAGTGACTTTGATGTTGGCACAGGACCACGCTCAGCCCTTCGGATCAGACACAGATCAAAGTCTGTCACCACAGGCCCTTGTCCCAGGGGCTTTGTCTGGGTTTTCACCACCTCTCAGTCACACAGACAGAAGTGTTCAGCTTTTGGCTCCCCACTGACACCAGCACACATAACATCTCTCTGGATATTAATGTAACACAATATTCCTTTGCCTTTTACATAAACCTAAGTCTGTTCTGTCCCTGCAGTTCCCCAATTAAAGTTGTGGTCTCGAGGAATGAAATTAGGTTGGTTTGCCAGCCCCTTGTTTGAAGTGTTTGCTATTAATTATGTATCCATCCTTTAGGCCTTATTAAATTATCCAAATGGGTTTCACCTCATTAGCTGGAATCTTATCTGGGGTGTTTAATTGAATGCTTTTAGCAAAGTCAGGGTGGAATGATGCAGACTAACTTGGCCTGTAGTTATCTGCCTCTTCCCCTTGCTCTTTCTGGTATTGATATTCCATAAAGGACCCTGACAGCTGCTGGAGTGTATCTAAAAGTCTGAGACTTACTGAAATTAGATACTGAAAAATGAGGGGTTTCATAGTTTCTAACTTGGATCTTTTCCATTTATTATTTCTTTTCAAAGTTGCCTTCCTTTGGCTGTTGAAATGAAGCAGATTTGACCCAAACTTGCTCATCACTGATAGTAAAAACCCTACAATTTCATGATCAAAAACCTCATGATTTTTAAAGAATCATGAGTTCCTTAAAGTAAAGTTCCATTTCTGTTTTTCAGTCTGTGGTTTTTGCCTTGATCAATCTGATATTTGCTTTTCTCCTGCCTGGAGAAGTGTGGCTGCATCCCTGGTTTAGAGTGTCCTCTGTGTAATCAGGACATGATCGTTGGGCTTTGCCCAAAGGCAGCTCAGTTTAGGGATTGATTTTTGGGTTTATACAATTAAAATAGGGGCCAAAATATGTGCAACAACTCCTGTGCAAGAAAATTGGCACAGGGTAGGACTGGTCTGGCAATGAGAGCAAGGTTGGGCAAGGACAAACGTGGGGCTGCTTTTGTTACTTTTTAAAGAAAGGAAATGTTTTGGGATGGGTTTTTTTCTACTTGGTTAGGGTTTTTTTAAGAAATGAAGGTGTGGCAGGATTAAAATGCTCGCAGTGAGTGCTGCCAGATTGAGGATGTCAATTTGAGGAGAAACAAAAGGCAGCCCCTGGCAGGTGTGTGCTGTCACTGGAGGAGGATCCTTTGGCAGGAGCTGCTTTGGCTGTGAAATCCCAGGGGGTTTTGGTGCCAGCAGGAGCTCCCCAGGCAGGTGCTGACCCAGAGCAGTGACCCTGGGCTGAGTGCGGGGTGCAGGGGTGCAGGGTTCAGGGGTGCAGGGTTCAGGGGTGCAGGTGCAGGGTTCAGGAGTGCAGAATTCAGGGATGCAGGGTTCAGGGGTGCGGGTTCAGGAGTGCAGGGTTCAGGGATGCAGGGTTCAGGAGTGCAGGTTCAGGGGTGCAGGGTTCAGGGGTGCAGGGTTCAGGGGTGCAGGGTTCAGGGATGCAGGGATTCTCTCCTGCCCTGCTGAGCCTGTCTTTGTCTCGGCAGCCATCAAAACGGACGCGAAGCCGGCGGACGCCAAGAAAACCTCGGCCAAGTCTCCCTCAGGTACCTGCTCACCTTCCATGGCCTCACAGAAATCCTTCCTGGGAAAACCCTGCAGGGCCATCCCCCGGCTCTGCCAAGGCCACCCCTGACCGTGTCCCCAAGTGCCACATCCACAGGGATGTTAAATCCCTTCAGCAGTGGGGACTCCACCCTGCCCTGGGCAGCCTTTCTGGGGAAGGAATTTTCCCAATATCCAACTAAAACTTCCCTAGCACAGCCTGAGGCCGTTTCCTCAGTGTGAATCCAATCCCCTTTATCCGGGGCTGGGGTCATTAAGGGGGTCCCTGTGCATCTCTGGGAATGGGGGTGTCCCAGTTCAGGCTTGGAGCACCCTGGGCTAGTGGGAGGCGTCCCTGCCATGGCAGGGCAGGGCCGAGCTGATCTTTAAGGGGCCGTGTGACTGAGGCCGTTTGTGTACCAGGCTCTGAGCCGTTCTCCCCCTTCCCTGCGACCCCACAGCAGATTCCAGCCGCCCCAGGAGCGCTCCCGGCAGCGCCACCAAGAGCAGCGCCACCACTCCTTCCACCACGGCCTCCTCCAGCGCTCCCAGCGTGCCCGGGGCAGCCTCCAGCCGGCCCAAACCCAAAGCCGCCCCCAAGGCTGCCGCGGCCTCCACGGTGTCGGCAGATGCCAAGAAAACCGCAGCCAAGGGCGGCAGCGCCGGCACCAAACCCGGCGGTACCAAAGCGCCGCGGCCGAGCAGCGCCGCGCCCGACCTGAGGAACGTGCGCTCCAAAATCGGCTCCACCGACAACATCAAACACCAGCCCGGGGGAGGGAAGGTGAGCCCGGCTGTCCCGGGGCTGTCCCGGGGCTGTCCTGGGGCTGTGTCCTCACTGCCAGCCTGGGGGCTGTGTCCTGGGTGCTGTGTTACGGGTGCAGTGTCTTGGGTGCTGTGCCCTCCCTGCCAGGCTGGTGCTGTGTCCCCACTGCTGGGCTGGGTGCTGTGTCCTCACTGCTCCCTGGACTGGGTGCTGTGTCCTGGGTGGGTGCTGTGTCCTGGGTGCTGTGTCCTCACTGCTCCCTGGACTGGGTGCTGTCCCCTGGGTGCTGTGTCCCCACTGCTCTCCAGGCTCCTCACTGGGTTCCTGCACAGCCACTGTTCCCTGCAGCTCCTGCAGGAGTCCAGGGCTCTGCTGCTGCTCTCCTGTCCTAGAGAGACAAGGTTCCAAGTGTCCAAGATCCTCCTGGCTCAGAATCTTGTCCATATTCCAGCCCTTTGCCTTTGAGTTGAGGAAGAAAGTCTGCTCAGTTCCTTCTGAACCTCCTGAACGGTTCAGGAGGTGGAGTGGTGCACCACGGTGAGGGCAATGTGGGTTCAGGAGCAAGTTCCACAGCACCTTTCCCATGCCCAGCTTGTCAGGCCCGAGGCTGACACAAAAGGAGTCTTTTGGGACCACCCAGAAGGTGGTGGCCACGAGGAGAGGGTAGTGCTGAGAAACCACGAGCAGAGATAAAACCTGGGGCTCTCAGTGCTCTTAGATGGCACTTCCACCATCAGCACCTCCCATGGAAGGATAAAGGTGTGGGGACACACCTGCAGACCCTGCTGACCATTAAACAACAACCGCAGAACCTCCATGAGCTTATATATATATAAATATAGATATAAATTTATATATTATTAAGCTTATAAGCCCAGCCTTGGCCTGACCACGTGTGTGAGCAGCAGCCACAGAGCTCTGACTCCCCCCCAGATCTTTGCACTTCTCTTTGCTCCAGCTCTGTGGTGCTGAATAAGCCAGGCCAGAGCTTTAATCTGCTGCCAAGGGAGCAGGTTCCATGCTGGGAGCCCTAATCTGCTCTCAGGCACATGGAAAGTCAAGGGCACTCCTGGCTGGGTGCTGTGTGTCCCAGACAGCATCAATACACCATGGATTTATCCTCAGAGTCAGCAGCACAGCACAGCCCTCGCTGTGTCACCTCAAGGGACTTCAGTTTGCACTGTCCTTAATTTTCTAAATATTTTCATAGAGTAATTAAATCCTAACAATTGCCTTGTTAAGCAAATTGTTCTTTTGGTAGTCTGATTTACACTGGGCTGTTCTTAGAGTCTCAGCATGTTGTAGTGTTGGGTTTTTTTTTTTTGTTCACTGCTCTGTAGTGAAATACAAGATTTATGCTGAGCCCTCAAAAAATGCAGGTTCTGCTGCACTTCCCTGCATCTCAACTGGCAAAGCAAGTGCTCTTATCACTGGATATTCTCGGGTAGTTGCTGAATTTTTACGAACCCTGTAAATTTTCCTTCCACGTTCAGCTGGGCTGGACTCGGTGGGTGCAGCAGCCTTTGTGTGGGTGGGAGGTGAAGGAGCTGTTGGGCTCTGCAGAGTGGCTGGGGGATGAGCTGGGAGCAGGGGCTGTGTGCCCAGCACAGCTCCCACTGCACCCCTGGCTGCCTTTGCCTCCCACATGTGCGTGTGAAGGAGCTGGTCCTGCACTGCTCTTGTGTTCCCCGAGAGTTTGGTCGGATTTGTTTTGGCAGGATCGGTGTCCTGGGGTCACTTGGATCCCGAGGAAAGGCACCAGGAGCTTTTTGAGAACGGAATCCCTGCCCCGTGCCTGCTGCGGCCTCGGTGTCAGCCTTGCTGGGCCTGGGATTATCCTTGGCCTGGGAATTAGAGGAGTTCTCCTGGGTCACCTGCTGGCCCAGCTCCCTCCGTGTCCCCACGTGCTGCCCACTCTTGTGCTTTTGCTGGTTGAAACCATCCCTTTGTCTCCATGCAGGGGAAGGTAGAGAAAAGGCCGGAGTCGGCCGGCGCCGCGCCCAGCTCTGAGCCCAGCGCGGCCTCTAAGGCGGCTCCTAAAGTGGCAGCAAAAGAGGGGGTCCCCAAACAGCCCCATGGGAAAGTGAGTTCCTTTCACACTTTGCTCTGGGGGAGATGATGAAGGAAAACGTTTCCATTGTGAGTCCCTGTCCCCTCCTGTCCTGTCAGTGCTGTCCTGCTCTCTCCTTGCACACACACTCCCTGTTCTCTCCTGTGCACCCTCAGATGTCCCCAGGGAGATCCTCCAGGCAGGGACCTTCCCCAGCTCTCCTGGAGAGGTTTCCAGAGCCCTCCTGTTTCACTTCCAGGTTAATACAGGCTCAACTTGGAGTCAGAGGGTTTGCCTTAAACCCAGCTCTTCACACACGAGGCACAGAGGTTGAGTTCACAGCTGCTTCTTTTAGGATTGCAGAGCATGAAGGGATTCACATCTTTCCTGCAATATTCCCAACCCAGCTGTACCAGAACTCTGGAACTCCACCCTTAGGCCATCACCACTGGATGGGTTACTGCAAAGTACAAGGGGATGGCGTGAGGTGGGAGTGCCACAGTTTAATTCCAGTATTATCAGGCAGGAATGGTGAGGACTGGAGAGGATTTGTACTTCCAGGGGTCAGGGAACCACCCCACACTCCACACTCCATGGCACAGACGTTCCCAGAGCTGCTGTTCCCTGAGCCCAGCCCTTGTGAGCTGGCTGAGGAGCTCTGGGAACCTGCCCAGGGACAGTGTTGGGTGATCCCTGCTGTGCTCCAGATTTGTCACCTCTGGTAGGAATCAGGATCCAGCTGGGGCCAGCTTGTGCTGTGGTAAATAACTCCAGACTAAACCTGTGTTGTAACTAACCTCTGCCAACACTGGTGTCTAACCCAGTTTCTGTGAGTAGAGCTCACCTAAACCTCTCCTCTTGTACTCACAAATCACACCCTCACTGAGGCTGGAGAGGCCCCCTGAGGTCATGGAGCCCAACCATCCCCCAGCACTGCCAAACCACCCCCAGCCACATCCTCACACCCTTAAATCTGAGTCAGTGTGAAGGAGAAACAATTTCACTGACCTGAGACTCATCTGAGATCATCTAACTGAAGGTGTCACCACCTTCAACAGAAAAATATTTCTTAGCCCCAGAAACTTCCCAGGGCTTTGGAGGAAATTCCAAATTTGGAAATTCCTTCCCTTCTTTACTGCCCAGGGTTTTAGAGGGACTTTACCCAAAGCTGGAGCCAGTCCAGCTGTGGGCATGGAGCAGCTCACAGTGTACTGGGAATGCTGGCTCCAAGGGCTGGCTGTCCCTGCTCTGGGAGGTTTCCAGAGCCCTGGGCAGTCCCAGCCCATCCCTCTGGGCTGGCTCTCCCAGTCAGGGGCTCTTCCTGCTCCAGGAAGGTTTCCAGGGCCGTGGGCAGTCTCATCCCATCCCATTATCCCATCCCATCCCATTATCCCATCCCATTATCCCATCCCATTATCCCATCCCATTATCCCATCCCATTATCCCATCCCATCCCTCTGGGCTCTCCCAGCTCCAGGGAGGTTTCCAGGGCTCTGCAGGGTCCCCAGGAGCTCTGTCCCCAGCCTGGCACTAACCCTGTCTGTGCAGCTCCTGTCCTTCACTTTCTCTCTCTCTCCTCCTTGGTGGCTCCCCCAGCACTGGCTCGAGTCCCACACGGTCCCTGCTGTCCCCCAGGCTCCTGCCAAGTGACAACTCTAACCAGTGCTCTTCCCTTGTGTTGTTTTCCATTCTGTGACGTTCCAGGTCCAGATAGTCTCCAAAAAAGCGAACTACAGCCATGTTCAGTCCAAGTGTGGTTCCAAGGACAATATTAAGCATGTCCCTGGAGGTGGGAATGTAAGTATGGGTCTGGGCAAGCTGTGTGTCTGCTGGCTCCTGCTCTGTGCTGTGCTGGGTGTGCCAGAGCCCCAGGGCTCCTGGAGGCACCTCAGGCTGCAGGATTTTTGCATTTCCTCTCTGCTGCCACGCTGAGTGGGGCTCTTGTTTCAGTGCACAGCTACACCTGGGCTGTTCCTGCTTTCTGGGCTGGCCATGACCAATCTGGGGGTGGGGATGTGGCTGAGCCTGGGGCTGGGAGTTCCCTCAGCACCCCCTCACTCCCTGACCTCCCCTGGAACCTGCATTTCCTATGTGCATTATGGCCTGAAGTGCCTCTCCCCTGGCTCACAGGGCCAGCAGGAGCCACACTCAGTCACTTCTTGTTTCATGAAAGGGACTCTGGAGCAGGCAAAGACTCTGGGACTTAACCTTTGAGCTGTGATTAATTTCTAAATTTAAAGGCTGCTGGTATCTCTGGCAGCAGGGCTGAGCTTATTAAAATAGAAAGTTAATCTGGAGCTGTCTGCAGCTTGGTGTGGGGTGCTGGATGCCCCAGGCAAGCCAGGTTTACTGTGCCCACCCTACAGACCCTACAGACCCTGCAGCCTGGGAGAGCATGAGCATGGCCTGGGGACATCTGTGCTGCCCTGGCAAAGCTGGGCTGTTGGCACAGGCCAGGCTCAGGAGTTTCAAAGGATTTGAGCCCGAGGAAGTTTTTTCCAGAGGTGTTGAAATACCCTGGGTTCCCAAGGAGTGCTGTCACACCTGGGGAGGTGCCCAGGGTGTCTGCTCAGAGTCTGCTCCAGTGCCACAAGCCCTGCTCAGGACCTGCCTGTGGAGCCAGCTGGGAAATCCATGGGAAATCCATGTCCAGCTGGCTGAACCTCCACATGACTGATTTTTGCACAAATCTTTGCAAGTGGCAGCCAAATGTGGGTTCCTAACAGCAGGATCCCTCCAGGCTGGTTGCCCAGGTGGCCACAGGAGCTGCTGAAGTCACAGCAGTGCCACTGGAGCCAGGCTGCCCTCCCACATCCCTGCTGCCCTCCTGCCTGGGGCTGGGCTGCCCACGTGCTGTTTCCATGATTTGCAGCATCTCTATGGGGGAGTTTCCCCTGGAAGTGCTGGCTGAGCCCTCAGGGTGTGGCTGAGCCCTGTTTCTGTTCCTGCTGCTGCTCCACCTGCTCCTGTGCCCCTGTCAGTGGCAGAGGTGCCTTTGGCCACTCTGGTGACAGTTTCTGGAGCAGCTGGTGCCATTTCCCTGTGCATGCACTCCAAGGGGCTGGATTTTATAAACCACTTCAATTTTGCCACCTTTACCTTGTTCAGCATTTCAGGAGCCTCCCAGGTGCCTGTCCTGTTCTTTCAGGCTTCCAGAACTGTGGGGAATCTTTCCTTGCCTGACAAACTGTGTCAGTGAAGTTTCCTGCTCATGCATCACCATCCTGAACTTCCCTCTTCATTCCCAGCCCTCCAGCACAGGCAGTGTGGATGTCAGTGCTCAGTCTGTCTTCCCAAAAAATCATTTTCTTTTACTCGTTTTTATACCTTCCCACTCCCTTTGGGAGTGATTTTAGTGACCTTTTCCAAGATGTTTTCTTGCTCAGGTAGTTGTGATGATCACTTCTGGTTTCGTTCCCAGGTGGGTCTGGCTGGAAGGTCTGTTCTGCTCTGTGCCTTCAGTTACAGCTTTTGGGAATCCTGTGGATAAGAGTGCTGTGGTTTGGAAACAATTCCTGATCGAGCTTTAGGGTTGCTCTGGTAGAAGGGATGGACATGGAATGGTTTGGGTTGGAAAGGACACTCATGGAGTGCCACCCCTGCCAGGGCAGGGACACCTTCCACTGTCCCAGGCTGCTCCCAGGGACACTCCTGGGACACTGCCAGGGATCCAGGGACATTGTCCTGCCACCCCACCCAAGTGGCTCCAGGCTGGGTCCCTGCTCAGGTGCCCATTTTGCCCTCTCCACAAGCAGATAATCCCTCCTCCATGCCAAGATTCCCCAGAAGCTGAGCCCAGAAGCAGAAGCTGCTGTTCCTGCTCACCTTACACTCACCAGAACCTCGACACAAACACAGCTCTGTTCTCTGGGGAAAAGGTTTTGATGTTTTTTATTTAGTATCTCCCACTCTCAGAACCACTGAGGTTGGAAAAGATCTCCAAGACCATGGAGTCCAAACTGTGACCAAGCTCTCTGTTCAGAGAGGGCAGTACAGAGGTGGATTTTACAAAGTGCAGTGTCTGTGTTGGTGAGGGTCTGAAGGGAATTTGGAGTGTCCATGTGTTTCCCTGTCCTGTGGAAGTGGTCAGAGACAGAAAAGCTAACAAGAGCTGAGGCTCACACTCCCCACCTGAGCCTCTGTCAAACTTCCCAAGTTTATTTCTGGCACCAGAGTCAGTGTTTGGCTCTCTAAGTGCAGTCCCAAGGTGCAGACCCAGCTCCTGTTAGAAATCCTACAAGCAAACCCTTCCATGCAGGTGGGACAGTTTGGATCTCAGGTCAGGACTCACAGCTGGTAACAAACAGCAGGATTTCATTCTGTGAAATAAATTTAATCTCAGTTCTGAGCAAGCAAGGACTGGTGATTAAAGCTGTAGTAACTTTACTCACAGCCCCTGAGAAACTCAAATGAAGGAGTTTTTGAGGCTGTCACTGAGCTGGGGCCATGGGGCTGTGGCAGGAGGCTGAGCTGTGCTGTCCTGGACTCCTCCCTAGGAGGAGTTTTGGCAAATTATCTTTGGAACTCTGAGTAAACTCCCAGAGTAGCTGGTGGGTCAAGGAATTCTTGTCACATTTGAAAGGAAATTCTTGCATTTCCTCTGAACTGAGCTGGAGCAGAGCTTCTGAGCCTGCAGCTTCCAGCTGCTCTCCCCACTGGTCTTTGGGAGGGATGGATTCCTGGAGCATTGCATTCCACCTGGGCACCGTGATCCCACCGTGATCCCTCAGAGAATTCCACACTGGTTTAAATGAAGGGACCTCAAGGATCACCCAGTGCCACCCCTGCCATGTCAGGGACACCTCCCACTGTCCCAGATTGCTCCAGCCCCAGTGTCCAGCCTGGCCTGGGACACTGCCAGGGATCCAGGGGCAGCCACAGCTGCTCTGGGAATTCCATCCCAGCCAGGAATTCCATCCCAATATCCCATCCATCCCTGTGTGCTGTCCCTCCATGCCTTGTCCCCTGTCCCTCTCCAGCTCTCCTGGAGCCCCTTCAGGCCCTGCCAGGGGCTCTGAGCTCTCCCTGGAGCCTTCTCCTCTCCAGGCTGGACATGGTGGTGGGGAGCAGAGGCTGGAGCTGCAGCAGGGGGTGTGGGGTGACCCCAGTGACAGTGGCCCTGCCCAGGCCATGGCCGTGTCCCCAGGCTGGGCAGGAGCTGTGGGCACCCTGGCAGTGGGGTTGGCTTTTGCTGTCCCTGTCCCCAGGGCTGTGTGTGCCATGGCTGTGCCCTGAGCTCAGGGTTCTGTCCCTGTGTCCTGCTCTGTCCCTGCTCTGTCCCTCACCTTTCCCCCCTGGCTCTGAGTGACCCCAGGGCTGCCCAGGAAGGATTCCTGGGAATCTGGCCCAGGAATAACCTGGCAGAGCAGGGGCACAAGGCACAGCCTGGTGCTCGAGGTGCCCTCTGGCCTCCAGAGTGTGCAGAGCTTTCTCTGTGCTCAGCTGCTGCTCTTTGTCTCCCCAGGTGCAGATCCAGAACAAGAAAGTCGACCTTTCCAAAGTGTCCTCCAAGTGTGGATCTAAAGCAAATATCAAGCATAAGCCAGGTAGGAATTTTGCCATTTCCTCATTTGTCTGTAAGTTTTGTCCCTCAAACAGTCCTGGATTGGAACTGGAATAATTTAAGGGGTTTGTTGCTTTCCAGTGCTTCTGGAAATTCCTAAAAATGCTTCTTCCACAATTCCTGGTGGTTTCATGAGCAGACAGGGGGTTTAGGAGATGTGGGATCTGCTCTCGCCTGTGAAGATAATCTACAGCTTTGACTCATTTCTGCTTTTCATCTCATTTGAGAAGGAAAACATGGATGGGCACTTCCATGGTCATTGCAGGAAGCTTCACCCGTGTTCACAGAGAGCTTTGGGGCACTCAGAACATCCCAGGGTGTTGATGGAACATGGATAAAGGAAATTCCCTCCAGTTCTTCAGAGCACATACAAGGGTCCTTTTAGCCTGGAGTCCCTGGCAGCTCCTGCCTCCCATGAAACCCTTCTGGTGTGATGAATTTTCTGGGATGAGTGTGTGGGAATTCCTGCTCCCTGCTGAGCACACTGAGGTTACTCTGCCTCAGTCCCTGGGAATGTCAGGTTTCTCCCCAAGGTGCTGGGGCCCCTGGCCTGGCCTGAGGGATGCTCAGCTCAGTGCCCTTGGCTGGCCCTGGGGGTCTGGGGACACTTCTCCAGCCGGGAACGCTGCAGGCAGCACACGGGGGACAGAGTTCACTGCCCAGGGCTGGGGACAAGCACCACAGGCTGCTCTTTGTCCCCTCTGGGAGTCCCCTGAGCCTCCCCAGGCTGGCAGGGTGGAGCAGCCCCCCTCCCGCAGGAGCCCTCGCTCCAGTGGCTCCCAGCTTTGGGAACGGCCACGACCCCGGGAATAACGAGCTGGGAGTGACAATCCCTGCCTTGTCCAGGCCTGATGAAAGCACAGCCACCCTGCCAGCAGCTCCCACAGCTCCTGTTGGTTTCCACCATGCCAGGCTTCCAGAGAGGGGCTGAGGGTTTAATGATGTCGCTGGGAGGCAAAGCTGAGCCTTAGCAAGACGTCAGCTGGGATTTGGAGAAGCTGCTGGGATGGGGCCTGAGCCAGGGAAAAGTGGCCCTGTCCATGCAGGGGGTTGAGATCATCCTTAGATCCAGGACTCCAGTCTCTGGGTTTGTGCACTGTGTGATTTGTCAGTAAAGGAGGCACCACTGTGATCAGAGGGATGGAACATTTCCCCTGTGAGGAAAGGCTGAGGGATTTGGGATTGTTCAGCCTGCAGAAGTTTCTGGGGTGACCTCATTGTGGCCTTCCAGGACCTGAAGGGAGCCAAGAAAAGATGGGGAGAGATGATTTCCAAAGGCCAGAGTGCCAGAGGGCAGGGATGGATGGGATATTGGGATGGAATTGTTCCCTGGGAGGGTGGGGGGGGCCTGGATCCCTGGAAGTATCCAAGGCCAGGCTGGACAGGCCTGGGACAGTGGGAGGTGTCCCTGCCATGGCAGGGGTGGCACTGGATGATCCTCAAGGCCCCTTCCCACACAGCCCATTCCAGTGTTCTGGATTCTGTGGTGAATGGGAACTGCAGTGTTCTGGCATCGATTCCATTCTGGAAAAACCTCGCTAAAACTCTGCAGCTCTTTTTGTGACCTCCACGTTCTCCTGAGCCTGCAGAGCTCCTGCAGTGTGCCAGGGAGGAGCTGTCCAGGCAGGCAGGGGTGCCCGGGGATCCCAGGGCTGGGCAGGGACAGAGGAGCAGGAGGTGTCCTGGCACTGCTGGATGGCTGGGCTGGAGAGGCCTGGGCAGGGACAGGGATAGGGACAGGAGTCAGCCTTGGAATGGCAGCAGGGAGGGACGGTGGGGGTGGCATTTCACACCTCTGGAGCCTCAGGAGCACATGCAGGGAGGATCTGTCCAGCAGCATTCCCCAGGGCCCAGCACAGCTGGAATCACCAACTGTGGAATTGTCCTGCCCCTCCTCCAAAGGGTCTGGGGCAGGGCTGGGATGGGAACGCCTGGGTGGGACTGCTGGGGCTTCCCCAAACTCAGCCCTGCTCCATGTCCCTGCAGGGGGAGGAGATGTCAAAATCGAGAACCAGAAGCTGAACTTCAAGGAGAAGGCCCAGGCCAAGGTGGGGTCTCTGGACAACGTGGGACACTCGCCAGCTGCAGGGGCTGTCAAGGTGAGTGCAGGGCTCTGGCACCCCCAGGGATGGATCTGATCCAGTTCTTGTCCTTCTCCTGCTGTTCCTGCAGGGCAGCTCCCCCAGCACAGCTTGCTTCTCTAAGGGGCCTGTGCTGGGCACCCAGGAGTGAGGCTGGAGCCCGGGGTGAGGATGGGAAGGAGAGGGCTGGACCCAGCTCAGGGTAACCTGACCCTGCTGGGCATTTCCAGGGGTTGGCACTGCCCATCCCCACCCTTCCTCCTGGAGCCTGAGGGCAGGGGTCACTCCAGGCTGAGGGGCTGGCTGCAGCCTTCACCCCCAGGGAAAGCTGGGGAGAGCTCCTGGCAGCCTTGGGAGCATTTCCAGAATCATGGAACACCCTGAGCTGGAAGGGATCCGTGCAGCCCAGTCCTTCAGCGCTGTCCGTGTGGGGATGGGAGCAGAGCACAGCTCTCGTGGCTGATTCATCCCTGCTCCCACGGGAACACACAGTGTCCCCAGCCTGGGCTCTGCACGTCCAGCTCTGCCTGCAGCAATGGGACATCTGTGCTCAGGGAGGGGACGTTCCCTCCCTGAGGGGTGTGTGGGCCTGGCACAACCCCAGGGAGCTGGGAATTGTGCTCAAGGGACCTCAAGGTTCATCCAGTGACATCCCTGCCATGGCAGGGACACCTCCCACTGTCCCAGGCTGCTCCAAGCCCCATCCAGCCTGGCCTGGGACACTGCCAGGGATCCAGGGGCAGCCACAGCTGCTCTGGGTGTCCCCAGGTGATGACCCAGTGTCCCCACGCCAGCCCTCAGCCCCATAACTCTGGGGTTTGTCCTTGCCATTCGCTGTCCGCTGTGCCAGCTGTTCCAGCCGTGATTCTGGGCTCCAGAGCCGCGGGCTGTGTCAGAGCCCGCAGGATTCTCTGTCCAGGAGCCATGCCGTGTCCCCTGAGCCGTGTCCCCGTTGCTGTCGTTGCAGGAGGGGGGCGCGGAGCCGCCGCTGAACGGAGCGGGGCCGGGAGAGCTGCGGGAGAACGGCGTGGGGCCGGCGCTGCCCGAGCCCAGGGACATGCAGAGCCTCGGCACTCACATCCAAGAAACGAGTGAGTAGCGGGGGAACCCGCCCGGGGCCGGGGGGAGGGAGCCCGGCAGCCCCGGGCACGGCGGCGTCGCTGCCAGCGCAGCCCCGACCGCTGCCGGCGACGTCTGCGGGCTTGTGGTGCCTTGCTTTTAATTCGGAAAATTGCCTTTTATCTTCCAGGCATCTAATGATGACATTATGGTATCGTCTTCCATTCCCCTCCCGTCCCTTGTCCCCTCCTGTCCCCGTGTCCCCTTGTCCCCTGCCCTTGTGTCGCTGCAGATTGAGTCTCACAAGCTGACGTTCCGTGCGAAGGCCAAGGCTGGAACAGACCACGGAGCGCAAATCGTCGTCTCCAACCCCCCCACCCTTTCCAGCAGCACCTGCCCCCGGCGTAGCACCTCGGCCAGCGACAGCCTGGGCTCGGTCACCTCCCGTCACCGCCGGCGCCCTCCCAGCAAGGCTTGTGACCCCGCGCCCCCGGGGACCCCAGCTTGGCTCTCTTAACCCGGCTCTGGCTTTCGGTGGGAAGGAAGGGGACGGCGCTGGGCGGGCCGGGGCTCCCTCGGTGCCGGGCAGGGCTGCCCTGGCTCCCCGAGCCCGTCCCGCTGGCCCGGGGCCACTCTCGGTGTTGGTGTCCTGGCGGGGGCAGGGCAGACCCTGCGGCTGCGGCTTCGCCTTGGGGTCGGGGTCGGGGTCGGGGTCGGGGTTGGGGTGGGGCTGAGGCCAGGCCGAGTTAACAGGGATAAGCTGTGATCTTTCTTTCTGTCTCTTTTTTTAACCCCTTCCCTCCTCGCCGCTTCAGTTTCTGCCGCCTTTGGGATGCTGATAAATCCCCTCCACACTCGTTAGGCTGTTTTAACTGTTGACTTGAACCTTTTATTCTTTGTGACGAAGTGTTGATGATTTATCGTGTTCGAGCCCGTGCTAAGTTTCCTTTTCTCTTTCCTTCTTTTCCGACCCGTAGGAGAGTAGGGACATTTAACCGCTGCTGCCGTGCTGGCTTCTTACTGACATATCCAGCCGTTGTAACTTCCTTGTTGTTGTTTGGGTTTGGGGTTTTTTTTTGGTTTTGTTTTTTTTTTGTTTTGTTTTGTTTTGGGGTTTTTTTTTAATATTTTAAAACGATGGAGCGAGTTCATGGGATTAAGCCATGTCTGGAACGAAAGGCACAGGAATGTGTAAAGGGCGAACTTGCTGTGAGAGCTCAGGTGGAGCCTGTGTTGACCTCAGATGCGTTAATTGATGCTCGAGATGTGTTAATTGATGCTCGAGGTGCGTTAATTGATGCTCATGAGCCCTCCCCGGGGTGCCTTCTGGACAGGTGGTTTATTTATTCCCCAGCCCGGGGGTTTCTCCCGTTTTTGCAGGGCTGGAGGGAGCAGAGGTGGCCGGGGCAGGAGGGCTCAAGGCCAGGAGTGCCGAGGCTGCAGCAGGTCCGTGGGGGTGTGGGGAGCGTGTGGGGGGTTCGTGGTTTTGGGGGGGATGGATGGGGGAGCCGAGCGAGCGCCGGGATGAGCAGGGAGGCAGCAGGAGCAGGGAAGGGCAGAGCTCATCCCGGGCTGAGCCCGGAGCCCTCGGCGGGGCAGCAGGGCAGGGGTGGTGCCAGGGAGGTGCAGCTCTGACTAGGAAAGAGATTTTAACCACTCTTGGAGCTCCTCGTTTCAACTGACACTAAGGAAACGAAATGTAAATAAATTAAAAACAAAACGAAAGTGTTCTCGGGTGGTAAAACTAATTTAAAGCAAAAAAAAAAAAAAGGCAAGCAGAATAACAAAACACTGGGATCAAAGAGAACTGAACCAGGCGTGTGCTAAGGGGGGCTGCTCCAGGAGGGGACAGAGGGAAGCCTGCAGCTTCTCGTGCTTGTGGGAGTATTTCTTTGGGAAGCCAACAACGACACGATAACCCGGAATCTGTATTTACACACAAAGATTCTTATTGCACTTGTATTTTTTATATTAAAGTTTGCATGGTTTCTAATAAAATGGCATTAAAATGTACTAGTTTGCATCAAAGTCGTCTGGTAGTTTCATAAGTGCTTTTTCATCTGAATACAAATTTAAACGAGCGATGCAGATTTGCACCTGAAAGGGGCGGTTATATATACCCAGAGCTCCCGATGCTTCCCTTCCTCTTCCTCCTCCTCGTCTTCCTCCTCCTCCTCCTCCTCCTCCCCACCTCTCCCCATCCCTGATCCCAGCCGGGGGGCGGCCGTGCCGTCGCTCCCTGCCCTCCGTGTGTGTCCCTGAGTGTCCCCGGCTCGGAGGGAGGAGCCCCCGCTCGTTCCCCGCATCCCGGTATATATCACTGCCCTCCGTGACGCTTCCTTCTTTCTTCACTGCTAAATTCCACACACCGGCTTCAGCTTGGCAGCCTTGCCTTTGGTTTGGTTGATTCTTTTCCAACACTTGAATTTTGAGGGGAGATTTGAAGGAGAGGTGAGGAGCAGGGTGAGCCCCTCGCAGGACGGTGAGCCTGGAGCTTGGTTCCCAGCCTGGAGCCTCCTGGTTCCCAGCCTGTGAGCAGCCAGGGTGGCCCTGGCACGGGCTGGGGCCGAGCTCCAGGCTCACAGGCCAGGCAGGGGCCCTGGGAGCAGAGTTTGTGCCGATGGGCAGCAGCCAGAGATGGTGGTGGGCAACCAAAGAGGAGGTGGAGGCTGAGATGTCGCGTTCCTCTTGCTGCTCCTCCTGGGGCACCCCAGGGCTGTGGTGGCCTGGGATGGCCCGGGATGAGATTGCCTGGAATCCCCGGGATGAGATTCCCAGGGTGCCCAGGTGAGGCCCCAGGTGAGGGAAGCAGCCAGGTCCCAGTTCAGGGCCTGCAGGAGGAAGGAAGTGGCAACATTGCACTTTATCTTCTGAGATTGCAAAAAGCAAACGATCCGTGCCCCGCTGCAAAGGGACAGTGGCGTCACCTTCTCCCTGCATTGCTTTTCTCCAATTCCTGATTTTCTGATTTCCCGAATTCCCGAGCTTTGGCAGCCAGGCAGTGGTGGCTGCGTGCTGTGCCCAGGCTGTCCCTGCCTAACCCCAGCCCAGCTGAGCCCCCGGCCTGTGCTTCTGTGCCACTTCTCTAACACTTGTTGTGCCTGTGTTTAGCCGATGAACTAAATCCAGATACACTATAGTTTGCCGTGGTGTTTCTAGGACAGCTTCAGTTTTAATACGGATTTCTTTTTTAATTTTATTTTGAGGAAGCGGCTGTACATACTGCTAGGCTGGGAAGGAGCCGTGTGTGGTGGGAATGGCTTTGGTTTCCTGTCTGGAGAGGTGGGATGAGCTGGGTAGTGCTGAGACCTTCAACGCTGCTGGGGTGCAGGTGGCTCCATCGAGGGCTGGAGGCAGCAGATCCGGGGGGAAATTGGAATTGTGCTGGGAATGAGGTGCAAGTTGAATGTACACATTCCTGTCCTGAGCTGGCTCCTGGCTTTGGGGGACTCTGGGCTGGGCAGGGGCTGAGCGAGGCCAGGCAGGCGCTGGTGGCTCAGCAAAGCCAGGCTTATCCAGGCAGGATGCTCAGCCAAGGCTCAGTAAAGCCAGGCTTATCCAGGCAGGATGCTCAGCCAAGGCTCAGCAAAGCCGGGCTCATCCGGACAGGATGCTCAGCCAAGCTTTGGAGGGGTTGAGTTGCCCAGAGGTGCTGGGGCAGGGCTGGCTGTGAGCTGCCTCCAGGCCTCCCGGCATTTCAGTGGCATTTACAGCTCCCTTGGGCTTTTTCTTCTGTTAAACAAGAACGAGGAACCGAGTCCGTGGGCTCGAGGCCGCCCCAGCGTGGCTCCTGCTCGGCTCCCGGCTCTCATTGAATGTAGTTTTCTACGCCGCCCCTCGCGTTGTCCCCGCGTAGTGTCGGTGTGAGAGGGGCCCCGGGACCCTTCACGTGTTTGTGTTTAGGCAGAATTTCTTGTTTTCTTGGAGCTTGGTGTCGCTGGCGTCCTGGAGGTGACAGGGGCTCCTCTGAGGGCAGGGCTGAGTCCTTGCTGTGGCCTGGTGGCCATGGCTGGGGCCCAGTGTCCCCCCAGGGCCTGGTGGCCATGGCTGGGGCCCAGTGGCCTCCAGGCTCAGGAGCAGTGTCCCCCCGGGCCTGGTGGCCCTGGAGCCGGCGGGTGGGGCGGGAGAGGCTGCGGGTGCAGCAGCAGCAGCAGCAGCAGCAGCAGCAGCAGCAGCATGGAAAGGGCTCTGAGGGGCTCTGGCTCTCCCTCCTCCCGAGCTCCAGCCCGGGCAGCGCTCCCCTCCTGCCGGCCGGGATCCCACGCCAGGGTCCCCGGCCCCGCTGTGCCCTGTCCCGTAGCGAGGCAGGAGCGGAGGCAGGAGCGGGCGGAGTGGCCGGGGAGGGCTGGGGGTGCCGGGCCCGGAGGGTGATCCCGGCTCTTGGCTCCCTCCGTGCTCTGGGGAAGCCACTCAACCTCTCTGCCTCAGTTTCCCCATCTGCCAAGCTGGGGGGGATTCAATTTTACCTCACCGGGCCGTAGTGAGGCGTGAGCAGCGTGACGTGTTCTCTCAATGTGACGTGTTCTTATTATTTTGTGTCATAGGATTATTCTGCAGGGTGCCCGAGGAGGGGGAGACTGCGCTGTCCCTGCGCCGTGCTGGGGGAGGCCAGGGTGGGAGGGGAGCTCAGGGCTTGGTGTGACACAGCAGCTCTGGGGGGAACCCATCGGTTGCTTCTGCCTTTGTGTCTCCCCTCCCCGGGGGCTGTACGAGCGTCGTCTCCTTAGCAACATTTCCTGACTTGATGTTGTGATTCTTACTATTGTAAAGGGTTGAAATAAAGCTTCTAGATGTTCCTCCTCAGGCTGCTGTGGCTCTGTGGGGCGGGAGGGGCCGGGCGGGGGCGGTGGCACAGCCCTGATGTGGGGCTGGCAGAGCTAAGGCAGGGACTGAAGGAATTTGGGGGGTCTCTGATTTCAGCCACAAGAGAATTCCCGTTCCTGGCTTTGCTCCTCAAGCCTGGGCTCAAAGGGGAGGGGGCTTTGGGCTGATACGGGCCCCTGTGGGAGCCTCGATGCCCATGGCACAGCTGGAACAACTGGCACAGCTGGAACAGCTGGCACAGCCAGAGGGTATCAACACCTCCCAGGAGCTGCCCCCAGCCACTCACACACATAAAGGAATGGTTTCCCACCCTGGCTTGGACCTGACCTGAGACCCCAAACAGGACTGGGAGCCAAGTTCCAGGTCCCTGTGCCTGGAGCAGCTGCTCCTCTGCCCTCTCCCAGCTCCAGAGACCCTCAGTTCCCCAGACAGGGGCACGGCAGCGCTGGCACACGCTGGGTTCCTCACACATGGGCACCTCTGGGACACACTGGGCTGCTTTCTCTGGGCACTGGGACACACTGGGCTGATTTCTCTGGACACTGGGACACACTGGGCTGATTTCCTGAGCACCAGCAGCCCCCACTCAGTGCCAGCCCCCCGTGGCACTGTCCCCTCGGGGGACATGCATGGCCCTGCAGCCCCTCCACAGCCCCAGGGCAGCTCTGCTCCTCTCCCAGCACAGAAACAGCTGCTGCTGCTCTTCCCTACCCAGGGAAAGGTACAAAATTCCAAACTTTGCAGGAAAAAAAAAATAAAAAAGAATTAAGAGGACAGAGACAGTTCCTACTCTATCCCTTTTTATTGTCTTTAATCTATGTTGTAAAAAGATCCAGTATCACATAACAGCCACGGAAGTATCCCAATATCACACTAGTTCGGAACCATTTAGACAATAGCTTAGTCTTTTTTTTTTTGCCTTTTTTTTCTTTTTTTTTTTTAAACCTGCTGGAAGGGAAAACCATACTGCCCATTATACAGGCCAAAAGAAACAAACACTGGTCAAATAATAGTGACAACCTCAAGCAAG